CCTGGGAGACTTTCCTGAGGCTCAGGGTCTTTAAAATATTTAGCAGCCCTTTCAGATAAGCCCTGAAATATGCCTGAGGTTTTAAAGGATCGCCAGCCCCATCCTTGACTTAGGCTTTATCCAGACATGAGATTTACCGCCTGGCTTTGAAAGTTTTTTCTTTTTGCCTGGAGATTTTGCCACAGTGAGAGACAGTTGCTCTTTCTACCCATCAAGGCCTGGCTCTTTTCTATTTCTTCTCAATTCTACTAGAAAAACCGAAGAGCTTCTTCTTGAATTTATCTCCTTCTGCTTATCTTTGGTCCTAGGCATTGCGAAATTCAGTTAGCAGTTCTCGATCTCACCCCGAATCCCTACTCAGACGCATGGGTCTGTTAGGTTTCCTCTCCATTTTCCGGGCCAGTACAGGCAGCAGCGTGGCTCACTGTTCTGCCGGCACTGACTCGGGTGCGGTTTCCACCTTCCGATGAGTCTCTTCCATGTCCTTGGAGTCCTCTCCACGAGGCTTCTGGATGCCTGCAAAGCTTCCAGCCTCGTCCTCCAGGCACTTCTGTGCTTCGCCCACTGCTCAGTCTCCAAGTCTATGTTACTTCTGGAAACTAAACTTTCTTCAAGTTATCTCTTACAAACTACTTTAAGACCTACAGTCAGCTGAGTATGGTGGCCCATACCCGTAATCTCACCATTCTGGGAGGCTGAGACAGGAGGATCACACATTTAAGCAAGGCCCGGACAACTTACTAGACCCTGTCTAAAAAAAATTTTTTTTTAAAGGGCCAGGTACAGTGGTACACACTTGTATTCCTAGTACACTGGGAGGCTGAGGCAAGAGAACTACAAATTTTAGTCTACTTGGGCAACTTAGCGTGACCTGCCTCAAAATAAAAATGGTTGGAGTTGTAGCTCAGTGACGGCCCTGGGTTGATCCCTAGCAATGTCAATCAATGTCTATCCGTTTGTGCCTCTACCTCCCTCCCTCCCTCCCTCTCTCTCTCTCTCTTTCTCTCTGTCTCTCAACAAACCTCTAGTCGTAAAGTCAAGAGTGTATGTTACAAAGAGTCCATTCAATCTTCTATACCTCGATGGAAATCTTTACCCTCCAGGAAACATTCACTCCAATGACTTTTTAAACTTTCAACCTATGTCTAGTCAGAATATAGCGGACCCTTCATCACCCTCTACTCTTGGCTGTATCAGGCATGTGAAATAGATTCATTGACTGAGGCCAAAACAGAAGAAAAGGGAGGAGAAAAGAAGAGGCAAAGGTGGGAATGACTTTGACCATCAGAAATGATTACTATTTCTGAGGTAGCAACTGTCTGGTGTCTCACTCACTTCTTCAAATGTCTCATTTGTGGAAATCTGAGTCCCAAAAACCAGAGGAAGGGACCAGAACTAAGTTAAGGTCCATGTCTAGCTGTTCTTGTAGGGCTGCTTTATTCGAGAAAGAAGAGAGCTTGCACTAAATCCTGTTACAAATGCATGATCAAGGGAAGTGCTTCCATTCATCTTGTTCTATGTGGACTCTCTTACTTTTTGTGCTTTAAAAAATTATTGGTATATGTTTGTCACACATAATAATGACGTTCATTTTGGGGAGTTGGTATATATACATATCCCATCTTAATCATGTTTACTTCCCCTTTCCCTCCCATCTTTGTAGATGTTTAGCCTCTAATCTATAGCTGGTAAAATATTTTACATGGAAAGATAACAGGAAAGATACAGATTACAGGAAAGATAAAAGTTGGAGAGGGGGTGTCAGGGCCTGTGAACCTTCACTCTTTTCACTCAGAAGTCCCCAGATGGTCACAGTTGGTGAGGACAGAGGGAAACTGCCTTTGTTATGCTCATCCAAGTCCTCTCTGCTCTCTAGCTCTTGAGGACCTTGGGCTTAGTATCCTGGGGCAAAACAATGACTTCTGTATTTGTTAAATACTGACCCAGAATGATGACTGCCACCTTTGGTTAGCAGCTTAGTTTAGACTAGGAATGATCTGAGTGAACTACATTTCACATGATCACATTTAAGCTCTCCAGCAAACTGAGAGGGTAGATACAACTGCTTTACCTAGAAAGATGGTGAGCCTGGCAAGTGCAAGGTCCTGATTTGATTCTCGGTACCCACCCCCGCAAAAAAGATGGTGAGATTTGGAGAGGATGACCACCCAGGGTGTGGCCTGGAGGGCTGCATCTTCCTGTTCAGCTCCTCCCTTCTCTCTCTGCTTCCTGACCTCCAGGAGGAGAGCCGCTTCCTCCGCGCAGGCTCCTCCACCACGCTGTTTGTGTGTAAACCGCTGACCATGGGCTGAAACTTCTGAAACTGTGAGCCAGAATAAACCCTTCCTCCTTTAAATTGGAGATGTCAGGTACTGCGGCTCAATGTCAAGCCCTGTCTTTACTGGGAGCCACATACGGGTACATAGCCTTGCCACAGGGCTTTAGCTATCTGAAAGGAAGACAGTTTCTTGGACAGGTGACAGGTTGTTAGAAGCTGCAGCTTTCATCAAAACTAAGGGCTCAGAGAGAAAGATCACAGAGACCCTGACAACTCTATTCATCCGCAGTGACCTTTTCCTCCTTCCTTCTTTCTCTTCCTTTTTCTTTCTCTTTCTTTCTTCCTTCTTTCTTCTTTCTTTCTTTCTTTCTTTCTTTCTCTTGTTCCCTTTCTTTCTTTCTTTCTTTCTTTCTTTCTTTCTTTCTTTCTTTCTTTCTTTCTTTCTCTTTCTTTCTTTTTTCTTTCTTTCTTTCTTTCTTTCTTTCTTTCTTTCTTTCTTTCTCTTTCTTTTTTCTTTCTTTCTTTCTTTCTTTCTTCTGTAGTGCTGGGAATTGAGCTCGGGGCCTTTGCACTGAGCTACATTCCCAGCCCTTTTTTATTTTCAGTCGAGGTCTCTCTACATCACTAAGTTGCCTAGGCTGGGCTCAAACTTGGAATTTTACTGCCTCACCCTCCTAGAGTGCCAGGACAACAGGTGTGCATCACCAAGCCCAGCCGCCACGGCGTTTTATGGAAACCCTTTTTATGGGCATTACCCAACTAAGTGCATAAAACTCAACCAGTGGCTCAAGAAGGTCTAAGGTAATTTGGGAAGCAGGGCCTAGACAAGAGAAGATAGTACTATCACAGGGTAGCAAATGCCAAACGCCAAAGGTGTGGGGCCTGCCTCAAGGGCTACCGGGACTCAGAAACTGTGCCCAGGCAACAAGCCAGAGGCACAGACAGTGAGGGGACCCTGATTAACTTGTGTCACTGGCTGGCAGTCTCAATGCCCGAATTCTCTTGGCAGCTGAACAAGCCAGTGGAGAGGCGATTGCTGAGCTGTTGGGATGAGAGGCTTATGGCGTCGTCGGCTGCTTTGTTCCTGACTGGCGTGGGAATGTTCTCAGATTTCTTTTGATTCTGGGAATCGGGGGCATCTGTGCTGGTGAGCACTCTTTCTGCCACCTAGAGGGGGCAAGAAACTGGGGACCCTGGAAAGGAGGGTGCTGTGACTTGGAAAGACTAGCCCGTGCAAGGCAGGTGGGTCGTTCCTTTCTTTTCCCTTGACACACCTTTGGGAGAAACCGGAAGGGACTGGCAGGTGTCGTCTGAGAACCGGCCTGGTGTTTCGATTCTTTCTCTTGACTACACAAACCTCCGTTGCAGTGTGTACTGTCTGCTCCTGGGCCCATGAGAAGTAGACAGGTGGAGACCAGGAAAGGTAACTGGCCCCTCTAAGCGAGCTGTTGCCCTTGAGGCACCGGGCAGGGGACCCGAGGGGCCTGTTCGGGTGTAGACCCGGCCGGCTCAGCGCCAGGGAAGGCTACAGACACTGTGCGAGATTTCTAGCCCACACCTGTGTCAGCGCCCCCTTCTCTCCCTCGCTGACCTTGGAAGGAGAGGTGTTCTTGGGGCCGGGGCGGTGGGATCAGGGCGGGTGGCATGGCCCGCAGCAGGCGTGTCCCCCTAGATGGCGCCAGGGGTGGCTCGTGGGATCCTTCTGCTTCTGCCGGTGTTGGCCACCAGTCCCTTCACCTGGTGCTCTGCCCTTTCCCCGGGACACGCACTGAGGTGGAACTGTGGCTCTCGGGAGTGGGCACCGGGGACGAAGTAGTTAAGGCCGGTGGGCTATCGGGTGAGTCGTCCAACGCCGAGGGGACGGCAGTTGCCGGAGTTAACGTGGGCAGCTTCTCAGGGGAGGAAAGGAAGGAGCGCCGTCTGCTCAGCTCCAGCTCGCCCCCCGCGTGTCTGCTGTGTGTGCAGCGCGTGTGCGTGTGTGTGCGAGTGTGAGCGCGCGCGCGCCGGGGCGTTCCTCAGGTTGCGCTGCCTGGAAACCGAGGGAGCCATTGGCGAGGCGGAGGGGTGGGGGTGGGGGCTCCCGACCCTCGCTGAAGCCGGGGCGCCGGCCGCACAGCCCTGAAGCCCGGCTCCGCACGCGCGCCTGGGCAGAGCGCGCTCGGC